ACTGCGGGAGGCGGCGGGGAGGATTTGCTCCATTTACCGATCTGAGATGGTGGCGCCCAAAACGGCAAAGCAACATCTCCTGAAGCACCCGTCCTTCGAGGAAGACCCCATAATCATTTGCTCCGACTCGCAGGCGTCGCTGGCGACGCCACGAGGTGGACAAGTGGCCCAGACACCCCCCCCCTCATCCCCTAGGTGCCGCCATCTGGGAGTATATGATGGCCCTAGTGGCTGTAGGGGGACGAAGAATCCACCATAGAAGGAGGGCGGCGATAGCCCGATTAAGCTGGGCGTCCAGTGGAGCCTCGGCTCTATCATGGGCATTGGGCAAGGACTCTGCGAGCACCCCCGTCTCCTCCATCTTCGACGGCACTCCAGTCAGAAAGCTGTCCCCACCCGAGTTTCCCAGCAGCATGGGCCACATGAAACCGAACAGCGCCGAGCCGCTCGACGCTGAGGACCAGGCGAGAGTAACAGTGAAAAGGTGAAACGCTCGAAACGGCGCGCGCCGCCGGCCGAGGGCGCCGAGCCGGCCCAGGCCGGCTGCGGGTCAAACAGAAGGTGGGAAGGAAGGTCAAACAGAAGCTGCGCCGGTGAAGGTGGCGCGGCCTGGCAGGGGCCGCGGCCGGCCCACTCCCAGCTACCCGTCCCGCGAGGTGCTCAGTACCACCGACTCGTCCGATTCTGAGGCAGCGCCGTCGGCGGGCCGCCGCCAGCAGTGACGACGACCGGCTGGCGGCGTTCGCGCGGGACTTGTCCGACTCCTGGTACTCGGACTTGCCGCCCGAACTGGACGCCGGCGGCGTGAGCACCAGCAACGCCAATAAAAAGTCCACCTTCATCCGGCTCTTCTCGCACCGTGTCAAAAGGACTACGCCGCGCGGCCGGCCGGCCAACTCGAATGAGCGCAGCGAAGGGCACACGTCCCCGACGGCGGCACTGGCGCCTCCCGCCGCGCCGCTGCCGGCGTTGCTGGCAACGCCGATCCAGGCCCATCGATTTCTACTGTTTTGTTGCCTACGTGCCGCTGCCGCCGCTCAGCCAGCACAATGGCGTGCCGGTGTTGCGCTGTCGGATCGAAAAGCGGCTCGTGCAGCGGACGGACGGGTGCGGCCCGCGCGATGAGCCGCCGCCGCACACCGAGCTGCGCCGCGCGGACGTGAAGGTGGAGCTGGCAGCGGCCTGCTCAGTCCCCTCAACGGCGTCGACCGGCTCTCCGGCGATTTGCGGTCAGAAACGCCGCCGCTTCTGGGACCAAGGTGTCAGAGCGCGGCGCTGCCCGTGAGACGTTAAGTTAGCACAGGCAATGTCGTCTGCACTCCTTGCAGTTCATGTTGAATACACAACCATGTTGCGAAGTAATAGGCGCCGGGTTTTTCAGTTCATAGAACTTTTTCCCTGGCTATTACACCCCACAACCGAACACTGACACCTTGCACAAGTATGACTGTGTGTATGAATGTTAATAAATACATGAACCAATGTTGTGTTTTCGGTTCCAGTACCTTCTTTGGGCACCTCGGCAACAAGTAAGTAATCCGTTAGCTTTGCCACACCTAAGATAGGCTCCCACGTTGTTATTTGCTCCCGGGTTAACATAAACCGGTTTAACGTAACTTTTGCATCCCGGCCAAAATTGCCGGTTAACTGTCCCACCGCTCGAGACTGGCGCTAGGCTGGCCGAGCAAAAAAAAAAGTTTGTCCGCGGCTTCGTCTTATTCGCAGCTGCTGGACACGGGGGAGGGGGGAGGAGGGGCTGCATCGGACGAAAAGCGGGCTCTGGTATTAACTGGATTTTTTGCCAGCTGGCGCCGTATGGTGGCGCTAGCAGAGCTTCTTACATATCAATGCTAGATATAAAAGAATGAATATTTACCAATCAATTTTTCATTTAAAGCCATTTGAAATATATATGTCCATCCTACTACCGCGCTTAGGTATATCTAAAATTAAATACCTTTCGTGCGTCGCCAGCTGGCCAGCCAGCTGACGCAATCCAGCTTTTACCAAAGCCCCGAAAAGCGATGACGTGAGCCCTAATATTGGCTTCACCACACAATTTGAGCCCTCAAACTGGAATCAGGTGAGCTCGAAAATGGGGATCAGGCTGAAAACTGGTATCATAGTGAGACTAGTTTTAGAGCTTGACACCGATAATGGGTACTGACTGAGCTCTGTTTCTGCGATCAATGATACCGATTTAAGGGATCGTATGAGCCCATGTGGCGCTAGCTCAGAAAGTATTCTCGAAATGTGCTGTCTGTTTTGAATATGGTACATTAGCCCGAAAACTGGTCTCTGAGCCCGAAAATCGGGACACTGTTTTCTCAGTGAATTTGACTTTCTGATAGCGGAATCAGATTGCATACGTATGTTCTCACCTGGTTAATAAGATTGTTACTCGAGTGATTGTTCTATTTTTTTTATTTATTTCAGAGGGATTCGCTAGAACAAGTCGGCTTTCTAATTGGAAGCGATTGACGCGGTCTAAAAAGGGCGAAGTATCCATGTGGTGGTTTCTATTTCCATGGAAGCGGTAAACATCTTAACAAGCTTGGCATTTCTTGGAAATTGCTGCACACTACAAACGACTGACTAATGTTTACACAATCGCTTGGGATAGCGTGCTTGTAGTGGAAAATGCTGATCGTATATGATGTGTATAGCAGAATATCAACGAATATCATTTCTTGCAAGTTTCCTTTTTTGGCATGCCTTATCTATTTCTGGTCGAAAACACTATACAGGGAGTGACACCAAACACATTCAATTTGATAATTGCTTTGGCGTGATCTTTGTCAATGTATATCTATATAAGTACCTAGTGCGGTAAACCTCTCTTTTTCTTTCTTAGATACGTTGTGCATTTAATCAGGAGTCAGAACTTTCTTATTGCGGGCTGTCTCACTACTAACATCATATCTCCCCGGCTGAATAACATACGCAAGCACATGACAAGTGTAAGATATATTTCTTCCTTTTCTTCCCTCTTTTCTATTTTTTTTTTAATTTTAACTCCCATGGTAGTTACTTTCCGTTATCTGTGGATTTCGAAATAAATGTTTCATATAAAAGAATAAATAGATGCAACAAAAGTCTTATCATGGAAGTACTGAAAACGGTGCTAAACTCTATAGAGGAAGGTTGTAATCCACCCTTGGCAGTTGGCACAATACAAAACAAATAAATTTGATACCTACCCAGGCCACGGTAGGTACCGCATAAGCGTATATATCGCCCCACAGCTCCCGCGTACGATCAACTGAAGAAACTGACGCACGGCAGCGGCGCGGCGGGGGTGGGGGGAGCGTAACCCCAGCTCCCCCGCTCTGCAGCACTGCTGACTGGCGGCGGGGCCGTCCCTGGGAGCAGCCAACCTTGCAGCCACCGTGTGTTTGTGAACTGATAACGGCGCGAGGAGTCCTGCAGGAGTCCGGGAACAGAATGGCAGGAGGACAAAGAGTCTGCCGGCCGCGGCACACATGGCAACCGGGGGCGATTGTGAATTGTGAATACGGCGCGGCTTGAAGGTATGCAGTTTGCAACTTCAATTGGTGTACCGGATGTCAGCGTTCCCTGTGTTCAACAGATTTATGAGCAAGAATTCGGCACATGCATTGTTCTTGGAGCGTTTGTGAGGCACTACCAACGTTCTCTGTCAGCTGAATCACTTCTCTTTATGTAAGAACCTGCGCAACGCTTCAGCAAACACACAGTGTGGTGATTTATGAGGACCAGAGACGGCAATGGTTTTGATCTGGTTTAAAGCCGACATAAAACACGGACAGAGATGGATCGAATGCGGCATTTCCTTCTCAACCTGGCATCAACCACACTGGTAGGACTACTCGCATTTGGGTTATTAACATTTTGAGCAGGGAAAACCAGTACATCCTTAAAGTGATTCGGCATTATAAAACGGTATCCTGTACTTATCCTGATTATTAAGAAAACCAGCTAACATTGTGAGGAAACTGAGACACTTCTGCTTTGAACAGGCTTTTTAAAGCACACATATATTTCAAATGTCTACATAAAAAGCTATGCCTATCAGGCATTTGACTATCATTTGGTGCCAGTTGACAAGACTCAATGAGTTGGATTATTTATTGTCGTAATGCAGGTATTGTTTATTTGTGGCCAATTTCCTGCCACTTGTAGGTATATTTATTTGTGCTATAGCTGCATGTCGAAGCAATTATTACACAATCTCATCATATATTACTGCATTCTATAACAGGAAAAAGGCTCTTTTTTTGTTAATTGAGTGGCGTGTTTCCATTTGTATGTGTGCCATTAGCTGGAGCGAACAGCATGTCCCCGTACTTTGGCACCAGCTGAGCATTTACCGAGGTTCCTTTCTCCCTGCACAGTGCACAGCTCGAGCTTTTTAATCATCTCCGAATATGCATGACAATGCTGCGGTTACTGCCTCTGTCAGGGCCGTGGAATGTTGTCATGTCCCTGCCTCCGCCGGTCCGACCATCGACGGCGGTGAGGGGGCGCGGGGCCCGCTCCGCTCGTCACCGCTCCTCGCCGCTCGCTGCCGGTACCCCTGGCAGCTCAATGGGCCGGCGCGCACTTCTTGGTCCGTCGGCAGCGGCCGCGCGTGCATACCAATCCGGCGCCGGAGGTCGGCGCACATTCATCATGCTCGTCGGCGGAAACGGAGTGGGTCGGAATACCAAACCGGGCCGCGCCGCCGCTCACCATCAATACCAACACAATGGCGGCGCCGGACACCGGCCGTCGCGCGCGCGTCAAAAGACGGCTCCGCTTTTTACCGTGTGTTTATCGGAGATGTCGGAGCGCTGGCCGCGGATGATGCATCACCAGGTGGATGTAGGAGTGACACGTGTGTGACGGGGTGACGCCGGTGACGGCCCGAGATGGGGGTCGGATTATAGCGACTGGACGCGGTGACTGGATTAGTGAAGGCTGGGGTGGGGAGTGGGTTGAAGGAAGGATGCATGGAAGGAACTTGGGGCGGTGAAATACACTGAGAAACACATTTTAGAACTTATACTGATAGTACTCACCTGAGTACCTTCGATGGTTTCCATTTTGCCGCTTTGAGGAATTGGTCTTTCCCGAGAACTGTGCATGGTCTCCACTTCGGTTTCAGGAGTGGATTTGGTCTTGACCGAGATAGTTTAGTACTGGAAGTTGTCTAGCTACCCGTGTAACGCAAACAGTCGGTCTGCGGTGAGATTCGAACCAGCAGTCATTCGGTCAGAAAGGATGGTAAACTTCTCACTTTTTGCCTTATAGTTCTCGCAGCTGACGTGTTTTGACGACAGATGTCAGCACAGAAGGAAACTAAAGGCGTAGGTGGCGCTGTGTTAAGAGTAGAGCAGTTTGAATTGCTGCGATACCATTTTCGCTTAGGAAAATAGCAATTATTGATAAAAATGAAACATGTATTTTTCAGTAGAAGAAATAATTTTTAATGAAAAAGAGCCTTACTATATGACACGATGTTTATCGATTTTAACAGTTCAAAGCACTTTAAATGGATATCCTTAGGGAGCATCTCTATAATGCCTCAGTGCTTCCGGTCCTTCCTTTCTCGAAAGCACTGCGACGGCTGCCGGCAGCGTGGTTGTTCCTTTGGCGAGTTGGTGTCTGGCGCACAGCGCGAACGTCTCATGGTGAGTTTGTTTTCTGTATGTCTTTGTGTGCACTTAACAGCTTGAAAGTAACCACAGCAAAGGTAATTACCTACTCTGGGAGGTGGCGAAATCTGTGTGCCATTGCCCATTTTTGGGATATAGGTTGCGATTGCCATCTGTTTGCCAGTGTTAGCAAAATCTGCTTAAATACCAATTCGTGTGCTTTGAGGATATGGCTCAGAAATTAAGCGTTTCTGCCGTTTCTCTAATATTTGTCTTACTCTCCCTTTCAGAGCAAGAAGCCGTAGAGACGATGCTCTCAATGTTGGACACCGAAGTGAGGCAACTCATCGGGCACAACGCCAAAATGTCCCTGTTGTGTCCTGCTCCTGGGTCACGCGTGTCGCGCCTTGACAGCCGTGACCTTGAACGACCTTGACCGGCCGGGCCGGGCCGAGCGGCCGAGGGTCAGTATCGTCCGAGCGGCGCTGGTGTCAACACAGCTGAGTGCCGCGAGGTGAGGTGAGGCGTGTTCGCCGAGACGGTCCGGCCACAGTGAAATAGTGAAATAGTGGTGTAATCGATAATATGCGTGGCCAGTACGCGAGTGAGATTGACCCTGTGCGCGACACCGATTCAGAGACGCACATAAGTTAACACCGTCGTGTCGGATCGCTCGTACCGGTGCAGTGATGGGAGACAACGAGCAGCTGGAGCGTCTGATGGCGCTCATGGTTCAGCAGTCAGCAGGCTGCCATGCTGGAGTAGCTCCTCCCCAGCCAGATGCAGCTACCAGTGCGCAAACTGTCTAGAGCGGCCAACCGGCTGTCGTCGCCTCCGCCGCTCCTATGGCTAGACTTCGGTCTCGCATGGACTCCCGTCGGTAGTGTTCACATGCCAGCCCATACATTTTACCTGTATTAACTTTTTAATGTCTGTGCCTGTGTAACTATTGTACGTGCCTGTACTTAACAGTGTTTGGTACATCGTTCGCACAGTCTGTGGACCGTGGGGAGCGCCGCTTGACATGCATTTTTGCACTTACCTGCATTCCGTGTTAAAAGTAAAGTAAAGGGGCTGAGCTGTCGTGCACCGGGAGATATTATGGTCTCTTGCTAAACGACACAGTTGAAACTCAGCACGCCGGTCGGTACTGACTGGGGCGGCACGCGAAAGGGTTTGGGCAGCTTTTGAAACAAAATGTTCGCATCGAATGACTGCATCGCATGTTCTGTTCCAGAGTGAGTTTTTGACATCTGACACAATAAATATACATGCCTGTTCTTTACCTTGTTTGTGCATGGAGGGAATGGGAAGGATCGAGAACGCGGATGCTGTGCCATGAAAAGCTGGCGCTCTACAGGGAGGGGAGGGGGGGAATGGGTCGTGAGCGCGAATGCCGTGCCAGGAAAGCCGGCGCTCTTAAGTTGTAAAGTTCTCGGAGACCATACAGGATCATATTATGAGCGGGAATTGTGTTCGTTTATGATCTCATGACCTGGTAAAGGTTCTCATGGGAGATCATCCCGCAGTATAAGAGTACCTTATCCGGGCAAAGTGCTCGTTCAAGATAGCACACCATTCTCACTCGAGAACGTTACGGGAAAAACCTGAGAACTTTACCAAACTGGAGACCAACAACTGAAAACAAAGTTCTCCCCAATTGAGGCTCTCATACAAGACCAGAACGACCCCTGCATGGTCTCCGAGAACCATGGATAGGCTTGAGTGTTTCTCAGTGTAGGAATGACGTGGTGCGGCATTGCGGAAGGGAGTAACGCAAATTAACATTTGTAGGTCGTGGAATGATGAGAGCAGATAAAACACAAATGAAGGAATGTAGAGTTTCAAAACCAAGCCATGCCACTCTCTCGTAACCATTAACCCTATTCCTGGCGGGCGGGCCTCAGGAGCCCCCCCCCCCCTGAGGTTTTTTGACTATTTCTCCCAAACGCGTTGAGCTAGGAAGCTCAAATTTTCTGACTTTTCCTAAAAGGCTTCTACGCAACATGTCTGAAAATTTTGAGTTGATCTGACCTCAGGTCAGGTCACCAGAGGCGGTTTGGTGACCCTACCTCAGAAAAGTTTGCAATCACAACAGAGCTAGAGTTTTTGACCGATCAATTTTTTCTCTTCAGGCTTTAGTTAGGGTACCAGTATGTGCAATTTGTATATCTCGGAATTTTGATATCGGTGACCTGAGGTCAGGTCAGTTTCGCGACCTCCCCATTATAAGTCAATGGGGGAAAAATCAACTCCCTGTTTTTACCACTAAAACGGGTCGGAATGGCCCCATATACCATACATGACTTCATATACGATCAACCTTCACTACCTTGAGGTCTGTTTTGCTGTTGGGCAGCTGTGAGGTCATGTGACGTCATCAAAGGTCACCAAAGGTTTTTGGCCAATAACTCCGTACAGGAACAAGATACAGACGCGTGGATGGTCTCATTGTGTTCAGCTCGTTAAGACGCATCGAATGATATACATGATGACCTCGAGGTCACGTGACGGTCAACCTTTGACCTTGACCTTGCGAGGTCAACATATATATCATTCGATGCGGATTGACGAGAGGATCACGATGATGCCCTTAGTTTGTTCCTATCTTGACTAATTCGAAAGTTATTCGAGAAAAACTCTCTCCATATCTAGCGCCGCCATTTTGACTTTTTCGACCCCTGTGACGTCATCTTTGACCTGACCTGAAAATGACCTTAGTAAAAATTGTAGATCTTGACCGTGCGTATCCGATGCCGTTTACCGTTTGTCGCTATCTTGCTTCGTTCTCGAGATCTCAGGGGGGGGGGGGCCGAATCGGCCCCCCCGCCAGTTTCTTGTCCCGGCGGAGCCCGCCAGGAATAGGGTTAAAAAGATGTATCAGTTATCCTGATTCATGAAGCATCGTGTTCTCTTTATTTCGGCTTAGCCGGCTTTTGCTTGGGATCTGAATGACGCAAAGACAAACAAACAAACAGACAGACAGACAGACAGACAGACAGACAGACAGACAGACAGACAGACAGACAGACAGACAGACAGACAGAGAGCCGGAGAGGACCGGCCGCCCGTCAGTCGTGCTGCCGAATACCAATGTGCTCGGAGAGGCTCAGGCGGATGCAGACAACACCGCAGCCTGGGAGGGAGTGGAAAACCACTACATAGGCGCACTACACCGTCCACAGCGATTTGGACAACAGACACACAGCTCGTTATCTTAGCCCGCGCCCCACTGGGGGGGGGCTATTTATAGCCCCCCCTCCCGTTTTTCTGCAATAACTTCCAAACCGCTTGACGGATCGACGCCAAACTTTCAGCACCTTCGGCTGCATCAATTTGACACCTTGTGTCAAAATTTGAACTTCGTAGCTACCATAGGTCGGCCGGAAATGACGTCAGAGTGACGTCATGTTCGTCCGATTTCGACGCAAAACATTGAACCACGGCAATCGCTCCCAAGAGCTCAGTTTTTAAGCTAGATCCAATTTCTTAGCATGAATGGACTCAGAATTGACCACGCTATCAAACTGCCATCTCGGATTTTCAAAATTTTGAAAACTTCGAAAATTTTATATAATAATATTCAAAATTTATATTTTTATATTTTTTTCAAAAAGTTTTTGACTTTTCGAAAAAACCGGAATATATGTGACAGAACGCATGATTATGACTAACTCTAGCAAGTTTTAGCTAAATATCTTCAAAAATGGCCAAGTTATACGCATTATTGCAAAAAAAATCACAATTATTAATTTTTCAAATCAATTTTTCAGTACGTATTTGACATCGTACACCAATATAAATGGCACCATCGTGTTCCTGAGCTCAAACTGCATCCAATAGACACCTTTTTTGTTGAAAAATTTTAACTTCAAAATTTGACCTTTTTTGACCTGAAAGTGACCTGACCTAAGCTAAATTCGACTCAAAATAACCTCGAATGACACAGACGACATCAAATTCGAAATCTATGGCCTAAATGGACCATAAAACATGTGTCACGTGACCGACGCATGACATAATATTTCCGTGACCTGTGATGACCTGACCCTGACCTGAAAATCAAAGTACAAGTTTGTTACCCTCAAGGTATCTAGAGCATCTGTTCACGAGTGTGGAAACCAAAAATGAGCCTGATCTGACTTGTAAGACGGCGGCCAGAGCCCAAAATGTGAACAAGCCAAAATGCTAATAATTTTTACTTTGACCTGACCTGTGACGTCATCGGTGACCTCGAGGTCAATGAAATTAGGTTTCGCTCGACAGTTTTTCCGGGGCTATCAGACGCCGTTTGAATTTTGACGATCGGCCCAGTAGTTTCGGAGTTAGGAGGGGGGGCTATGAATAGCCCCCCCCCCAGTAGGGCGTGTTATACACAGACCCCAGTGGGGCGCGGGTTAGAAACCAGCCACAAAACCCACGGCGGGTCCGCTCCCACCGGACCTGTGTAGACAGGCGTTTCCAAAACGGGACAGGGGATGGCAGGGGCGATCATAAATTGAAGGATGGAGGAGAGGCCAGCCGGTGGGGAGGCGCCGTTCCGCAGCATTACCATAAAGTAGCTACTGAACAGTAAGACTGCCGGTCGGATCGTGAACATGCCGCGCATGCCAGTGATGCCTCCCTGCAGACGGTGACGGGACGGATGGGCAGGAGGGTGACGGCCTTCCGAGCCGACATTCTAGCGTCACAGACTGACAGCCGGCAGGGCAGGATAGTGGATGTGTGGCGACTGCTGAGCCAGTGGAGACTTGGTTTCAGCACAAGAAACGAACCTGTCGCGCGTTTGCCTCACTCTAGGCCGCGCGTGTGCTTTCAGTTCCATCTCACTTTCTTCCAGATCCTCCTTAGTTCCTTCTTGCTCCTCCCCAGCACCTACCACACTCATCCGCCCCTCTGTCCCGCTCCTCCGCCCCTCTGTCCCGCTCCTCCGCCCCTCTGTCCCGCTCCTCCGGCCCTCTGCCGCGCCGCGGTCGGTCGCCAGCTCGTGGCTCATTAGTCCTGTCGGAGCTCAGATCGTGACGCCTCAATTAGCACGACTGAGTGTGACCAGAGAGGAACGCAGATAGAAGAGCGACAGCGGACGGCGGACGCAGTGATGGACTAAGATTACTGCCAGTTTGCGGCTCAGAGCCGCCAAAGAATTTGTTTGAGATTTCGAATCGTCATCTTATCTAATCGCACGTACAAATACCTACACAGAAATACTGGGAGGAAGCCTCTTTGTAATTGCCCATCTAGGCTTCATAAGCGCATAGATACCCAACTATTTGCAGCAATTTGATTTTCTATAGCGAGGGTTTGGTATGTGTGCACTGAAGCGAATACCAACGCTGATGGTGCTTAAATTAACGGTATCTTAAAAATAATAACCAACTGAATCGCAGACAACTTTTGAGCTTTATCGGAGTTTTGCCTCTTCAAGGGATGTGATCAAACATCGTTACCCAGAGTCTCTGGGTAGTGACAAATAGAACTCCATTTGTGAGTCGATGGACCACCCTGAAGCAACATGGCGCCGGTGAACGTGTGCAGACTGTCCCCGTGACCTGGCCTGTCCGGGGCACCCTGCAGGCATCGAGTGGCGTGATAAGAGACACTCGCTTACCGTCACAGGGCTGTTCGGGCGCCGGCTGCCTCCAGTCACACCGCGTGACGCCCGGCCGTCACACCGCGTGACGTGCGGCCGTTAGTTTATACAGACCGGATCCGCACCTTCTCAGGCAGTCCACCACCCCTGTCATTGCCGGCTGTCGATACAAGAGTGAACCTGCTAGCTCATGAGATGTTGAAACTTGGTTAACACTGACGGCACATAGTTACCCTCGTTCGAGGCAAGCGTGATAAACATGGTATGCTATATGACTTGCTTTAGGTGCGCTATGTGCTTGTAAAATTTGCTTATGCAACTTGTAAGAGCCAAAGAAGGAGTGAAAGCAACAGGAATGTCGGATGAACACAGGAGTCTTCAGCACAGTAAGTACAGCTCGTTTCAGTGACCATGCTGTATGTGCAGTAATTATGTCATTGAATGAATTATGGGACTGTGTTCTTGATGTAGCGAAGCCTGGAGTTTCGGCCGGTTGTCTGTCAATAATCATACACTCGGTAACTGTACCGTCATTCCAGACTGGACTGGAACGCGTTGGTTCATGCAGAGCCGCGCCAGGTCACGGCGATTCCGGCTCACCCACGACGATTCCAGTCACTGACGGATGCACGTCATCGTGGATCACAGCCTCCCCAGCCTAAGCGCTCCTTCATCACTGTGTTTGAGCGCA